TGTTTCTGACAAACTATGAACCTCTTTTTTTTCTTGCAGCTCTCTCTTCAACGCGTTTCTGCAATCCGATCTATGCAAAGTGCGTGCTGTGGATCTGGTGGAGCGCGCAACCACCACTCCGTGGCCCGGAACGACAATATCGTTGCTGAAGTTCCCGGTGATGAACCCTTCGCCGCAGAAGCTGGAAATAAGAAGGCGACGGTATTTTTCTAAACTTTCGATTTCTAGCTCTCTTGCAACAGGGCAGTTGAGCGGTGTAAACGAAAGATTCCATAAAAATAGTTCGTTTGCTAAATTTTTTTCTTTAGCCTACACTACCTTCATCTGCTGAACAAAGATGGCATTTGTCAAACCCTCGAGTAACACCGAACAAACGCGTAAAAAGCCTAATAAGTAAGCTTTATGTGGTATTTATTCGAGTACCATTTAGGTTGTTGTCAAACCAAGCATGGCGTATCAAGGAGGAACGCTTGAGATATGATCTATATAAAACAACAGGTGATATCAGATATGCAACACTGCAGGCCGCAATTGGCAACTCGTTCAAGGTTCATTTTTTACCATTTTTTAAATGATTTGATACCAATCGTCACCGAGAAAATCTTGTAAAAAGCAGAATGACAAGCTCTCTCTAAGTGATATGTGTTTCAACACCAAAATAAACACATTTCAAAAGACTGTTTGAACTTCCGAAGTTTTATTTTTGGCAACTTCCGAAAATTTTCGTTTTTTTTTTCCAGGAGCGTGAAAAGGAGTTGCAGCCGCCGTCGTTTCGCTCGGTGCTCGCTGATTCCGATGAACCAAGTGAAAATGCAAAGCCGAAAGTGTAATTTTGTTTCCTTTGTCTTTTAATAGTCTTCTGCAAAATTTCATCCCAGGCACTTCATCGTCGAATGACAAGAAACTGTCGAGATTGAGCAGAGTTTCAGCCGTTCCTTTCTCAGCATTAGTTTATTTGGCCTAATTTTCACCTGCAACCCAATGTTTTCTGACCAAACTGAAGTCAGTCTCCCTCACTTAATGAATGAGTCACTTTATTTGTTTATTTAAACGCACTGGGAGACTAGTCTTATACGCATTTCGTGGTTGCTAACACCGGAAGTATAGGCATTTACAACAGGCGAGGGAAAAGCTGCATTCGACGTGTAAATACTCTGCGTAGTTTCGATGAGAGCTGCATTCTGTGTATAAATAATTTGTTTAGTTTCGATGCCGACTTGTATATTTTTTCGAAAGGAAAGTGGTGTTACGATACTCCCGGGACAGTCAACAGTCAACAGGTATTCCCCATACCTTTTTCAGATCTTACCGTGAATCTGTTTTCTTTCTATAGTTGGATTATTCCCGAAGATGTTGTTAGCTTGGAAAAAAAAGCAACTGCTTTTGGCTTCAGGTATCTTTAATCGAAATATCGTGTTTGATTTTGCAGGGTTTTTTTTTTGTTGTTCAGTTACCGTAGTGTTTCTGTAAGTTTTTGCTTTCCGAAACCTTTTGCCTCGGTTTTTTTTTCTCGTCGGGTTTAGCTCTCTTTTTCTCTGTTTTCTTTTTTCCCATATCCCAATCAGATGGGATCCAAATGGTACTTATTAGTGGCTCTTGCTGGCTGGATGTTTTTTGGCCAAAAAATGGCCTAGTGGTGTAACCTTTCGCCCATGCTCTCGCTTTTTGAAGATCCTGTTTCAAGGCCTACTACTAAAATAATCAGCTTCTTTTTGTCCAGAGACTGGCGAATTGGTGCTGACATATTAGGGAGTTTAAAACCTACTAAGCTTTTTCGGAAAATTGCGATTTTTGGGAAAAAGTGTTGTCAGCTAGCCTAAAAATAGGCGCATATGCTTTGGCAAAAGACTAAAATGAGTTTTGCACTTCAGCAATTGGCATTTTTTAGGTTTTGGATTTATTCACGCTTGATGAACTGATTGCCGTTTTGCCACGAAGAATGATATTGCCGCGCACATTTATCATACATCCGGAAGAATCACTTCTGATCGGTGGAGTGGCGCAGATTGATGTCCTGAGTCTGCCTTCAGTGTCCAAACCCATATCCGATAAAGACTACGAAGGAAGGCGGCCAGGCGTTCTGGTATGTGGCTTAGTGGATTTATTTCTTTACCACAGTTATTTCAAGTCGAAAACCTTTAGTATTTCACTTTTTCGAGTTAACAGTGGCATATTGTCCTCTTACAATACTCTGTAAAAATCAGTTTATTAAGAAAGATTTTCAGTTGACAGTTTTTGCCAGCGAGCAGTTACCGATCTTCGTGCGACAGACATCTGAAGCTTCGGCTTTTCGTAAGCAGCATTTGGGAAGCGCAGTTCTTGTTGTACCTTTTGGCAACGCTGAACGAATTGCACGATTTCCGGATGTAAGTTCACAGATGTGTTGCTTGTGCTCACTTTCTTTTTATGCGGGAAAATTCTGTGTGATTTCCTTAAAATTACCTGCTCTTACTTTTTCTTCTTGCCTGTTTCTTCGTTGACTACTGGTTGTTAGTTTATAGCCTAGAATCAAAAGCTCTGGCATAGCTACGTCTGGCATTTGAAGGCATCCCTGTAACGCCACCTAGATTTCAAAACCGATGATCCGGAAGTCTTAGTATTTGCCTCTTCGTGATATGAATGTGGCTGCTGACATTCCACCTTTTCTGCTCAGTTCTGAATGCGTTGCATCTCCTGCTTACTTTTTTCTTAATAATATCTCCAGTTTCACTTGAATGATTTCGATTTTTGTTCAGCTGGAACTTGTTGAATTGACACTGAAAAGTTCTGGATCATCGAAAGGCTGCGGTGACATTGTGCTCTCATCACTTGGTTGGATATGTGTCACATCTCGGCCTGGAGAAATTCGCATCCGTGCTCATACGCCTGAAGGACGCGGTATATTTTTGCGGAATCCCCCCATTCTGCCACACTGTGCACAGTTGCGTGGTTCACGAATAGGAAGTACGCCAGCTTATAGAGTCAAGCAACCAACGATGCCTGACCCAGAAGCAAAACAAAAGCGTCGCAGGAAATTATCGCGTAAAAAACGTTTTGGTTAAATTTTGTCATGTACTCTTTATTGGAACAAGAGCAAGATTTTAGCATCGCCCGGTCACTCACTGCATTTTAAGTTATTACTGTTACTGAGATATTCCTGCATTCGGGACACAACTATATCAGGCCCTTCGTTTCTAGGTTGCATACCTTCGTTTAGTAGCCACTGCTTTTTCGGCGATATTTGTGTTGGTTCTCTGCGAAAACCGTTCGAATGGGGTTGTTTACTTCTCGCTGGTACCCACCACCAGTAAGCAACGTTCACCGGTTTTCAGTAAGATGGTCAGTATACCCCGGTATGGACAACCTTATGCGATACGCGAGCCTAATTTACATACTTAAGTTCGCGAGCCACCTTTTGATAAAACTCGGGTAGCAACGCATCAGTCTTGCCCGTGCGATCATGCGTTTTTGCGCTAAACTTGACGCAGTCAGATCGTTAACAGTATGAATGATTACTTCGCTACAGTTTAAAACGGCAACTCATGTGCCTGTATTTTGGTCTTCTCTTGCATGCGGGTGAAAAGCG